TAGAGACTCCTACAAAGAAGTTCTAATTACACAGGAGTAGTAACTCATCAGGTATGCTGAGACAGTTCCATTTAAACTTAGTAGAAGTAAAAACAAACATGCTGTTATTTACATTGTATATGGTGTGTGTGTGTGTGTGTGTGTGTGTGTTTCCTGTGTGTATTCAAGTACACACATATGTGCAGGCCAGAGGCCAACCTCAGTTTGTCTTCCTTTGTCATGTTCCACCTTGAGTCTGGCTGTCCAGAGGATCTCCGGGATCCTCCAGAGTCTGTCAGATGAGTATGGAATCTCAGGTGTGAACCATCATACCTGGAATTTTTTAATGTGACTTTTAGGAATTAAACTCTGGTACCCATGTTTGTATAGTAATTGCTCTCACAACTGAACCAACTCCCCAGCCCTTTTGCCAACCCCAGTCTACTGGGACACATTTAGATCACATGGGTGCAAACGAATAAATGAGGAGTCAATGCAACACTGACCTTCTATGCTGTTGGTGTGAAGTATGTTCTGAGAAATGTGTTATGAGATGAGCCCATCTTCCTGTGCAAAGCAGGAAGGGTGCCATCACAACTCTCAGCTTCACTGTCACCAAGAAAAAAATCTTAGGAGACCATTGCCACATAGACTACTGGTCACGGAAATGACTTCATAGAGGACACATCTTAAAACTTAACCTGAGCCATGGGCCAGGCAAGTCTGAGAACAACATCAAACTTTATGTTAAGTTTGTGTTAGCTTTGATGCACTCCACAGACAATTCTCTTCTCCTCTATTGTACAAACAAAATGAAGCATTAGTAGGTGATGTTGATCTTCTGAGAATTTGTGGCATCAGTCCTGCCCCACAGCCCTATAAACCTACTGGTTCCCTTCTTCCTCCTTACCCTTTCTGTCCTCCCTTCCTTTCCTTTTCTCCCTGCTTTCCTTTCTTCCCTCCTCTTCTCCCCTCTCTTTCTCTTTATCTCCCTCCCCATCCTCCTCTCTCTCTCTATCTCTCTCTCTCTCTCTCTCTCTCTCTCTCTCTCTCTGTCTCTCTCCTATTGTTCTTTCTGCAGACCTTAAGTTTGTCACTGATCACAAGCAACAAAATGGCTCATGGGCTCAGCATGGCAAAAACATTGTCCAAAATAAGCCCTTAGTAGAAGTCTACATTCTTACTTGGAATATTTTCTCCTAATGTCAGTAAAGTCAAGTAGAAGGGGCTGCTGTATTTAGGTCAGTTAACTGTGTTTAATACCCCCTCTTTATCCACCTAACCACAGTCACTTAAGTGAGCCATCTAACCTTTCACTAACTCAGCTTTCTCATCTTCCAAGTAGATATAATGATGTTTCTAAAGTACATTAAAATGATTAATAGATGAGAAAGTTCTTCAATGAGCTCTGTTCAATTTTGAGTGATTAATAATTTAAGACTTGAAAATAGGGGGTAGTACCCTTTACTTTCCCAGATGCCTATAGGAAGCAGTGTTTTGTGTCCGTCATATTTTCCAAAGACTGAATGGGTTCTGGTGATATCTTCAGAACCCCAGAAACCATACTGAAAAAAGCAAACACAAAACAAAAACAAAAACAAAACAAAACAAAACATCAACAAAAAAAACAGGCTTGGTGGTGAATGCTTGTAATCACAAAGGAAGATCCCTGGGGCTCACTTGACAAGCTCTGGACCAGTGAGAAGCCTATCCCAAATAAGGCAAAAGCATGAAGAATGACACCTTAGGTTATCCAATGACTTCCACATGCACGAAACACACAGAAAGATAAACACAGAGAGATACATACATGAATGCATATACACTTTCATATTTACACATCTCACATGAACACATACACAAAAATTCAGGTTTGGATATCCTCGGGTCTTCACTCTGCTGTTAAGTAGTTATGTGCCATGTGCTATGGTACAATGGTGAACTTTAAAAAAATTACTATGCCACCCTGTTTATTATAATGAACTAGCTCAGGTAGATTCGTAGGCCTTTGAGAGCTCTTGGCTGTGTTTTGGTTTGAATGAGAATGGCTCTCATAGTCTCATATAGTTGAATGTTTTGTTCTTGGTGGAACTGTTTAGGAAGGGTTAGGAAATGTGGCTTGTTGGAGGAGGTCTGTCACTTGGGACAGGCTTTGAGGATTCAAAATCCCATAGCATTCCCACTTGGCTTTCTGCCTGGTGCTTCTGGATCATATGTGAACTCTCTGCTACTGTTCCAGTGCCATGCGTGCCTGCCTGCTGTCATGCTCCCTGCCATGATGGTCATGGAAACTGTTTAAGGTAATTTATTTAACCAGGCAGTGGTGACATATGCCTTTAATCCCAGCACTTGGGAGGCAGAGGCAGGTGGATCTCTGAGTTCAAGACCAGCCTGGTCTACAAGATCTAGTTCCAGGACAACCTCCAAATACACAGAGAAACCCTGTCTCGAAAAACAAAACAAAATAATTAATTTATTTTGTTAAATTTATATATGTGTGTATGTGTATTAAGTTTGGCATATTACCCACATGCCCTTCTCCATCTTTACCTCAACCTTCCAAAATTCCTTTTGGTTTCCTTTGTCACTTCTGTTTTTCTTCTCTCTCTCTCTTTCCCTCTCTCTCTCTCTCTCTCTCTCTCTCTCTCTCTCTCTCTCTCTGTGTGTGTGTGTGTGTGTGTGTTGTGTGTGTGTGTATTATATGCACATTATTTTATGTGGAACTACAAAGGAGAGAAAGACATGAGTTATTTATCTTTAATATGATTATCTCCTGTTGTTTCTGTTTCCTTGCAAACTACATAACTTTGTTCTTCTTAATGGCTGAAAATTTCCATTGTGTATATGTACCATGTTTTCCTCATCCATTCCTTTGTTATTGGACACTGAAGTGAGTCCCATAGTCTAGCTATCATAGTTCTTCAAAAAACATGGTTGTGCAGGCATTCTCCTCTGTATAATTCTGACCTTTGAGTACTTAGGAATAGGGCACAGGCCAGTGTCATGTATACAGAGTTAGGAATACTCCTGGCCCATTGTAAGTATGTTGTCCTTTAGAAAATGAACTGACAGATCTGAACTGACTAGTGAGTGCTAGCTTTATCTGTAAATCAATATGAATATGAGAAATATGAGGCCCAGTCGCATAATACAAGTTGTCATTTATTCTAGGATGCAAGACATGCATGTGGGAAACATTTGTGCACTAAAGTGAGAGGGATTTAAAGGACAAAATGAATGATACAGAGTGTAAGATTTCAAAGAGATTTGAGATCAGCAAGGGAAGATCGTGAGTGGGAAATGAGGCAGATCTAGAAAGTAGGTGAGTGTCCCTGATAAAGGACACTTATACAATAGAAAGTAACAAAGTGAGCTCGTGTCCCAAGTGGAAGTGGGTATAACTCTGCTGACCCTGGACCACAGGGGTTGTGTTTGTGTGCTGAAACAAAATACCCCAGGAAAATAACTTAGGAAGTGTTTATTGTGGCTTACGGTTTAAAGATAGAGACTATCACAGTGGGGAAGGGGGTAGGCATCACTCACATTCAGGGAGGATCTCGCCTCAGTTAACCTAATTTATAATCTCCCTCTCACACATGCTCAGAGATTCCTTTCCATGGTGATTCTAGATACCATCAAGATGACGGTTAGAGTTAATATCACAGAAGTTTTAGAAGAGGTATTTAAAGCCAAGAAGGATTAAAAAAATTAACATGTTGCAATATAAGCTATATAGATGGTTAAAGATGTTGACTGAGTTGGCAAAGTTGCAAAGCAATTTAAAGTCAGAGAGAGAAGGGTTAAGTATCTGCCAGTGTCCTGACACCATGAAAAGGATGAAATAAATCTTTGTGTGCTGATGTAGGAAGACAACCATGAAAGGACACACACTTTGTTAATGGGAAGAATATATTTGTGAAAGATCTGCTGCTGTGTAAAATACTTTTCCATGATTGAAACATACCTTCATTCAGAGAAGCTCCTTAAACAGGAAGTAAAGGAGTCAAAATAGTTTCAGGAAGTCCCTAAAATGGACCAGATTCACCAGTCCCCTCGATGTCAGAGTAAGCAATAAAAACTGAGAGTTCCCCTTCAACGAAGCAAAGCCAGACTGCCTAGAAGACCCAGACAAGCAAAGCTACAAAACTCTGAGTCCAGAACAGCTACACAGAAGAAGCATAGACCAGCCAAGCTGCTTAGAAGAGTTTAGACCAACTGAGGCACCTGGAAAGTGCAGTCTCCAACCTGTAGACTGTGCAGTAAGCTCCAGGTTCCCGGCTTTATGAGCCTTCATCCATGCAAGGGTTTTGGTAATACAGCTGTCTTTGAGTCATTTCTGTTCCTATAAGTAATCCCAATAAAACTCATTGGTTCATCAAAGTTGGACTTTGGTGGTATCCATACTTTGGTATGTTATAAATTCTCTATCTGGGTGAGTAGATATGTGTCTTGCATTTCCCCAGGAAAAGTTTTGTTCCACAACATGTTAAGTTGGTGACTGATTTTGATTTAAAAAAAAATGAAACTGATGTTTGAGGAAGATTGATGTGAGATCTTGTGTTGAATTTAAACAAGGAGAGATCATGCGTGAAGAGAGATGCTAAGATCTGCGTGTATGTGAGTACAGATGTTCAAACCAAAAATAGAATGACTGTAAATGACTTCGTGACCCTCCTTCACACTCTCCCATTCTTAGTCCCTCCCTCTCTTCCCTTCTTCCATTTTCCCCTTCCTCCTTCCACCTTTCCTTCCTCTGTCCTCTGGTCTTTCTCTACCTCTTCTCCTCTTCCTTCCTTTCATTCGTTCTTTCAACTAAACCCAAAGTTTTGGATAACTCAAATGAATATTCTACCCCGAGCTCTATTTCGCAGCCCACCACTTCTTAACTTAGGAAATAAAGGTGAGGGGAAAGACATTCCCTCATCTAAGCTTAGGAAGTATACCCCGAGAAGAGATGACTCTGACAGCCCTGTGTTAGTAGAAAGCCATCTTGAAGAATGTGTTCATGCTTCTGTTTCTAGGATGGAGGAAACTGTTCGAAGTCTACTGCAGAGCCAAGGGTCTCCAGAGCACAAAAGGGAAGAACCTTCCAAGATCACAGCCTACGAGGTACAGCATGTTTCTGACTCTCTGGTTTGGTTTGGTTTCGTTTTCTTGCTGGGAGCCATTGAGTCACCTTTATTTTGAGAAATCTTAAACATATTTCATTAACCCAGTGATTTCTAAAATTCCACCTTGAAAGAGGCCATAAATGTGCTTGCATGGTTGGGAAGACATCACGTGGTCCTGTTGCCAAGGAGGTGAAAGGTGTATGTGTTATATTCTTGGGGTACATGAGAGGTATTGTCTCAGATGTTGACTTGAGGAGCACTTGCCAGACATGAAGGGCTAAGGGAAGGCCTGAAGAGTAGAGAATGAGGTTTGGGCCACTCCAAGATGAGGAGAAAGCCTAGCTAAGCCACAGGGGTGAGAGGTACAGCCTAGGCCTGAGGAGATTATGCAGCTCAGAGTGACTGCCAAGAGGATGCTGGGGCTCACTGGATGGCCAGCTTAGGCTGATCTGTGAGTTTTCCAAGTAAAACTGAGCCTCTGCCTCAGAAACCAAGAGGGAGAATAGAATAATGGAAGGAGACACCAAGGATTGATCTCTGGCCTTCAGATGCACACACACATATGTGAACATGTGCAACATGCACACACACACATGTAAACAGGTGCACATACACACACACACACACACACACACACACACACACACACACACACACACACACACACACACAAAGATGAGGAATTCTATGAACCCCAAATGAGGTCATTTGTTTTCCCTCACAAGTGACTAATAAAAATATGTTTTCAGAACTCTTTCCTTTCTGTACTACAGTCTATAAGTATCTCCTCCTAGAGAAAAGGTAGTTATTAATTTGAATTCAAGGTACACACACAGAAGGGGGTATTTTGTTCATTGCACTTTAGGCTTTAGATTCATTTATAAAATGGGAGAGGAACATGAGATATTGTATGTTCACTCAACAAATACTTGGTTTCTGAGATGTATAAAGATGGCACAGAGTAGCAGAACAACTTCTGTAAGATACACCTGACCATCCTAGTGGGCTTTATGTTTATTCACCTTCCTCATCAAGTCTCACATTGAATTTGGGAGGATAGGTGAGAAATTTGTTGCTTCAATGTGGGGTGACTTCATGCCACCTGACTCAGGTTTCCCAACTTGCATCATTTCTCTGGAAGAAGCCTCAAATCTGTGTGAAAGTCCAGCCTCTGGGGAAGCTGTAGTTTGCTCAGCTTTCCATTGTCGTGTGTTTGTTCTGAGGCTTTTATTGTCATTTGCTGTTGAATAGCAGGACCATAGCTCCTGGAGTTTGAGCTCCTCGCTCATTGTTTTGCATGCATTAAATATGGTCAGATTTTCTTTGCTGGGTACCTTCCTGAGTGCACTGTATAATGTAGTCCTTGTGTGAATTATAACATGCCTTTTTCATTGTGAATTCTTTCAAAGTAGGATGGCTATTTCTACCTAGCAGCTGAAAAATGCCTTTGTGGTAATTATTTTGTGAAGTGTGCCATTCTAGGTATTTCTTTTTCATTTGGATGATGTTCATAATCTCAAGTTTTGTGCATAAAGTTATTTCTGTGCAGGTGCCCGTGAATGTGTATGATGCATGCATTTGTATGCACATGCATCTGTGTATACATGTGTGTACTTGTGTGCATGTGTACTTGGATGCATATGTACCTGTGTGTATATATGTGTGTACTTATGTGTGTGCACCTGTGTTTATGTGTGTGTTTGTGTATGTGTATGCATACCCTGAAGTTTCTCTGTGTGTGTGTGTGTGTGTGTGTGTGTGTGTGTACACATGCACATGTGTGCATGGAAGTGAGATATACCTGTGTATGCACGTGAACATGTGTATATGGGTACACATACATATGTGTGCACATGGAGGCTAGAGAAAAACCTTAGCTGTTATTCCTTAGGCTTTGTCCACTGTGTTTGTTTGAGACAAATTCCCTCACTTGCCTAGAACTTGCAAATTCATCTCTGCTGGCTAGCCTGAGAGCCCCAGGGATCTGCCTGTCTCTCCTCCCCCTCACCTGGTTCTTTACATGGGTTCTAGTAAACCCAAATGGCCTTGTATGCTCCAATCTCTAGAGACACTATCACCAGCTTAGGGTTTCTTTTACTCTATTGAACATCACTTAATATAGGCACAAGGCAAGAACCCTGTGCCTGCCTTCCTAGTGTCTGCAGACCAGGTCTTACTGTAAGGGTACAAACGGTTGGTACTGTGAAGTCTATAAAAGATTTGTGTTTGTCCAACAGCCTCTAAAGTAGGTATTCTTGTGGCCCCCTTAAGCTGGTGCTATAGATACCTTTTTGACTCTTGCTAAGATTAGAAGAAAGTTCCAGATATTTCCAGGTTGCATGTGTGGAATTAAACTGAACCACTATCTGCATAATATTACGTATGTGTATGTGTGGACCTGTGTGTGTATGAAGTAGGTAAGTCCCTTCATAAAACCTAGATCAAAAAGTCACTGTTTGAAAATTAAAATAAATAAATAGGGGCTGTGGAGATGACTCCATTTGTAAAGTAGTTGTCCATGTGTGAGGACTTGGACCATCCCCAATACCCAAGCACACACTATCATGGCAGCATGAAGCTGGGGGCAGAGTCATTAGGTATCTAGGTTCACTGGTAAGCCAGCAGAGCCCAATCAGTGACATCAAGGCAAAAGAGACCTTGACTCAAAAAACAAAAAACAAAAACAGTACATATTGCTTCTGGGGAATAGCAGCCAAAATTGATCCCTGACCTCTGTGTTCAGGTACACATGTGAGCTTACACATGTACCTGCATACTTATATACTCTATTCAAATTAACTACTGAAGAAAAAAATGAAAGAAAACTCACGAGCTTGTAAGTCAGTGTTTGTTTGACACTCATTCTCACTGTGGAAGTGGCAGTTCCTGAGTGATGGAGCCATTATCCATATGTGCGGAGAAGGCACTGTGTGCACCAGGGACAGACTCATTTCTTTGGGGAGAAATGTGAGACATGAGATGCTTTCCTTCAGAGGAGCCCCAGTGTAAACATCTGCTTTTACTCTTGCTTCGTCTGGCTCTGTGGCCCTTCTCTCTGGATAATACAGGCTTTGTGATACGCCATGCTGCATCTTCTTGCCACTTGGGCCAGACTTCCCTGTAGCTAACTTTGGAAACTTTTGTTTGAAAAAGAAAATCAAAATTGCACAAGAGAGAGGGGGCCACTGAGCATCTGTGAATCAGAGAAACTGTTAGTAGAAAGACGCATAGTCTCTCTGTCTACCAGGATGCATACCCACAGGCAGCCTGGATGTGGTGGGATCCTCACAGACTCTTGATGGATTGGCCTTTCACAGGCTCCCTGGGTCCCCAACTGCCTATGTGCTTCTCCATTGTAGCTGCTATACTCCCTCACGTTTCCACTCCTCTTTTTTTTTTTTTAAGAAAATAAGGAACATGAATTGAATCACATTAGTTAATTCATTAAAAATGTGACAGCCAAATGGGACGAGGAACAAGACTTTGGACCTCACACAGAAAGCCTCTGTGTTCCTCGTTTTTCATGCTTTAAAAGAACGTGTTTGGAACTAAATGAGGAATTCTAAATATAAATGTCCTCAGCGGGCAACAATGTTGTTCAAATGACACAAATATAAAATGTCAAATGCCTTCTTGAGAATTCTATTCTGTTTGCGCACTTAGTCAACACAGGGAGACAGGTTTGTTTCTTCCTATTTTCTCTGTGTGTGCATGTATATTTATGTACGGGCATACTAGGTGTGAGCATGTAGAGGTCAGAGGTCAACTTTGTTGTCATTCCTCAGGTGCTGACTACCCGGATTTTGAAGAAAGGGTCTTTCCTGGCCTGGAACTTGACAAGTAGTCTAGGCTGGCTGGAAAGCTCCAGGGAATCTGTCTCTTCCTCCTACACTGAATTGTAAGCATGCAGCATCTTGTCTGACTTTTCATCTGGGTGCTGGGAATCAATCACAGGTCCTCATGGGTGCACAGGAAACACATTAATGACTAAGCAATTTTGCCAGGCCCCATTTGCACCCTTTTAATTGGAATACAAGGTAGTCATGAAAGTGGAGTAGAGGTTGAGCACAATGAATTAAATAATCCTCACAGTAGAGAATGCAGAGAATTTCACAATGACCAGAAAAGAGACCAGTGTGTTCAAGTTTATTTGACTTGATCCTTCCACTTTTCCTGTCTTGGACAGCCCTGTGTTATCTGAACCCAGGGCCATTACTTCCAAAGATAGGCTCCATTCAGACCCAGATCCTTTCATTGGAATCTGAATCAGCTGAATTCTCATGGATTGTACTTGGGTAACTTTTATTAGTTTATGTTAATTGTACAAACCAATAATCTTCATGGTGACATTTTTATATACACAAATTATGCAGGTGATCATGTTCATCCCTTCAGTATTTTATAGAAAAGAAATTCCATTGTATGCCATCCAGTTCAACATTGAAATTACGATCTCTATCCTTAAGTGATTCTTTAAAAGAATTGTCAGGTGTGATTAAGTATTGATAAATGTCTCTTTTCTAGATAACCTAAGAACTGTCCATCATCCGATACACATATTTTCATGTTAGTTTGTGTTTGTGTGTGATGTTAGGATCATAGATGTCATGGTGGGTGCATGGAGATCAGAGGACAGATTGCAGGAGTCAGTTCTCTACTTCCAATATGTTTTGAGGCAGGGTCTCTCCCATTCTGTTCCTGCTCTGTGTGTTCCAGGCTAGCTAGCTCATGATCTTGCTGAAAGTTCTCTCATCCCTGCCTCCTGTCTCATCACAAGAGCATAGGGACTATAAATTACAATATCACATCCTGCTTTTTACATTGGTTCTAGGGATTGGACATGGGTTTTCAGACTCCCATAATTGGTGCCTTTATCTGCCTGAAATATAAATGTTCATTTTTATGTGGTACACTGACAGTACATGACAACATCTGGAACCTTCATCACTGATGCTTAAGGCCAGCTTGGGAGATGACTAATGTTTTACAAGTTATAAA